TTTTATTTCAAAAAAGCGCCTAGCTCCAAATCTAGCGACTTTTTTCTGCTACTGCAGACTTTGGCAACAACATATAAAAGCACTGAACTCTGCTCTCCAGAGCGAGTAGATTCGTAAACCTGCCTCCTGCTCTACTCTCTCTTGTCCGCTGTCATGATTCATGCAGGGCAGGCTGTCTGCACGCTGCACTGCAGCACAGAAAGAGAGAGAACCTTTAAACTTTGAATCCAGATTGCAAATGAAATGCACAGGTTTAAAGCTCTTACTAATCTCGCTCAAGGTTACAAAATAATTTATAAAACCATTTTTATAAAAATGAACTATTGCTTTTTTAAATTTCTCCTCCTGTCTGCACTGCTTTCTTCTTCTTCGTGAGGTTTTTTTCATTGGTTGGCAAACAATTAATGGTGAATTACAATAACTGGCATGGGGTGTGGAACTAAATGGCTGAATTATATGTATTTTATTTACTTGTTTCTTTCTATAAAAGATAATACTCTTAAAATTCCCACAAGTTTTCCCTTCCAGCTATCTTTCTGCACTGCTTTGACAGACCACAAAAAAATCTGAATCTCCTACAGCTGGATGATATGAAATATGCAGATTGGGTGATGACGTCATCTACCCCCTTATAGCATCATTTAGGTCAGCCAATAGCAGCCTTTTTTGCTGGAGAGTTGGCAACAGTGGCGACTAGTGTGCACAAAATGTTGTGACCAAAAAAAGTCTTTAAAAGAGTATAATGAAATTAAAATGGTGTGCCTCATTTATGTAATCACTTAGCAAGATTTACCATTTTTTTAAGTTGGTAATGAGACAAGGGAATTATTTATTTATTCTTATTTCTCAAGAGTGCTTAGTTCAGAAATTTGTTGATGCTAAAAAAAAACACTGTCGGTAAGAAGAGGGAGTAACAGAGAACGGCTGGCTGAAGTCTGAGCTCCTGAATCGGATCAACGGTGAGATAGGTGCGTATAACTCAGCGGAGCTTGAATACCCAGCTTCCCCACAGCAATTCCTGACAGATTTCTGAAGCAGTCTTAGAGTTGACAAGGTTCTTGTTCTTCGCATATCACATACTGCTGAGTTCTTTCTATATTGTGGCATTTTGAAACACCTTTGTCAAGAAGAGCCAGACTCATTGCAGCCATGCAAAATTCTTCAGGCAAATGTTAGGACAGCTCAATGACAGCACCAGGGGGGTATTTCATAATTCTGATATTAAAAAATATAGTTTTGACTAGTTCAAATTAACTGAAATATATTGATTATAATTCAGGATGTGTGAAACTTTAAATGGCAAATCAGAGACTTAATTTAAGATATCTCAAAATGCATTTTTTATAATTTCAGGCAAAATAAAATCAGGCAAAATTTAGTAGATAATGTTTGTCATTTCTATTAAAATTTCTGTATCTCTATAAGGGGTCTGTATTATGAGTTGTCTTCTCAATTCAGAGGGCCCCATGCCTGTCTTTGCATAGGGCCCCAAATTCCCTAAATTGCCCCTGGGTCCATATTTACAACAGAGGAAAACCCAGGTGAAATTAAAAGTTAAAAGGAACATGTCTTGTTTTATGACACTGCCAATATTTCAGTGAGAAAACATCAGCTGATGTAAATCTCCATTGTATAGTTCCTGTATAGATATTTTCACTCCTCAAGTTTCCACATTTTCCATGAATGACTGATTACAGCAAAAAAAATAAAAAATAAGATCCATAAAGACCAATATGTTGTCTATACTAACTTACAACACAACTCTGAGCTTAAATACTCAACCCTGTAAGATATCTATTATTAAAACCAAACTGGATTTATCACCATACTATACCCCTGTATTTACAAAAACAATTTAATTAACAAAAGTTATCTAAGGGCTGTACAGACAATTGAAAACAAAAGTCAATTTTAAATAGAAAGTAAAATACAGACAAGCTAGATTTGAGATTAATAGTAAAAAAAAACTGTTAGAATAGTTCATATTTAAAATAATGTAAAATTTATTAAAATAGAAGATTAAAAAATGAAATAAAGTAAATATAGTGTCAAGCTCTCAGGATGTACAAAATGCCTCAGCAAGCAGGTGTG